TGCAAAGGGTCCAAGTTTAAATGAAGAGTAGCTGTAGAAGAAACCTACAAAGAAGCAAAGAAATGGGGGTTAGTAAAGTGCCAGCAGGGAGGGGATGATCCCGATTTGAGCACAAAGTCATACTGATTCCATTCCAATGCAATCCTAACATTAGGGGCAGAGCCGGGTCTTCCCACACCCCCAAAAGTTCCTGCAGCTTGTCCTCAGCACAAGGAAGCAAGGATGTTAAGTCAGCACCAGTCTGTCTAAAAGTCTACTGGAATGAGTCCAAAACTCATATACAACCAGCCCCTCTGAGACAGATTCGGGCTCCTGTGTGCTAATGGAGCACTAATTCTGTAAAATGGATTAATTTGTGCCTTGCAGACAGAAATTTAATCTGTTCCTTTTAATTTTTTTAAGCAAAGAGTAATTAGTCATAGTGAGGTTAGTGAGAAACAAGAAAATGGGTTTCCCCCCTAGTTTTCCTATACTGTAAATAACATCTCTATGGCATTTAGAGGATTTACCAAAATAACTTTTATGTGGTTCAGAACTGTATTTAAGACTATTTCCAAATTAACTCCTTTATTTAGAATTAAAGCTTGTTTTCTTACTACGCTGCTGTGTCATAAGGCAGGATATCCTTAATTACTGCACCCGCATCAAACTGCCTGGGTAAACAACAAAAATCTTAAGAGGAAAAAAAATATTATTTCATAGAGTCACAGCATATGTCGAGTTAGAAGGGACCCTCGAAGATCACCGAGCCCAACTCCCGACCCTGCACAGGACACCCCAACAATCCCACCCTGTGCCATTACACAGGACAAGCAGATTCGGAAGGGTTAAAAAAGTTAAAGGTTAAAAAGGACCTATATTCAGAAGCTGAGGTTATAATCAAGCACGCAGGAACACAAATCCAACTCCCCTTCGCTCGCCGCCCCTCAGCCGAGCCCCTCTCCGTGCCCCGGCACCGGCCCCGCGCCCGCCCTGCCCGCCGGGGCCCGGCCTGTCCCCGGCACGGCCCCAGGGCCGCCCCCGGCCCGCGCAGCCCTACCAGGTCTCGGATCAGCTGTCCCAGCAGATCGTCCCCATCCCCGGCTCCGTCCCCCGCGGGCTCCGCGGCGGGCCGGGCGGGCGGCGGGCTGCGGCGGGCCGGGGCGCCGCCGGCCAGCAGCCTGCGGGCCAGCGCCAGGTACTCGGGCTCGGCCGGGGCCTCCCGCGGGGCGTCCCCCGGCCTCTCCGCTGGCTCCTGAGGGGGCTCCTCCCGCCGCCGCCGCTTCGCGGCCCCGGCCCGCTCCTCCTGCCGCCGGGGCCGCTCCCGCTCCGCCGGCACCGCGGCCATGGCGGCGGGGCCGGCCCGGCGCGGCACGGAAACCGCGCCCCGCGCCCGCGCGTTCCGCCGCCACAAGGTTCCGCCGCCGCCGGGAGCGCGGCCGGTGCCCGGGAACGAGCCGGTGCTGGGGCCGGGGCCGTCGTTTTGTGGTCTCCACACGAGGGCGGCGATGGCGGCCTCAGGGCCC